CGTTAACAGGGGAATTTGAAGTTTAATGATATGTGCAAGTTGGCCGCCTGTTTCTACCTGAATTTGGAAAAATGTAGCCTGCTTTAAGAATATAAATTGTTTGACTTGAAAATTAACATCTCTGCCATAAATATCTTCAAAGACAGATCTTCAAAGACCAGAATGTACTATTTAAAGAGGCTTCACTCTTGGAAACAGTATCTTCTCAGAAGAGCTGTTATATACTTACTCATAAAGATACATAAATAATTCAATTGCTTAATATTAAGTTAATATGAATGAAGTTTCTTAAGTATTGACCTTCTGCTCAGAAGATCAATATATAGTGGAGGGATGATACACAGCTTTAGAATGGTCTTGAAAATGGTAATGCAGTAATACTTGGGGTCTGGAAAAGGTGCAAATTGCATGACAAAAATCACGTCACTTATGGCTGAATTTCTCCCAGGTGTAAATTTAGTGACTTTATGGAGTTGGTTTACATAGGAGCTTGAAGTCAGATTTAGGTCAAATCAGGCATTTAAGTTCAAAATTTTTACTTTGAAAAGCCCTTCTGAGTTGTGTCTGGCATCACATAAACTCCACAGGTACTTTTCTTTTTTTTTTTTTTATATTATATGCCTACATCATTTTAAAGCAACTCCTCCATCTAGATCTTGACTGGGCTGAGCAACTCAGCATCTAGATCACACTTCTACCCTTCTTGAGACCAAAACACTGATTCAGTCTTACATGATCAGTCCAATGAGTCTTAAATGATGCTCAGTGCATTTGGTCTTCTGCATACCTATGTAGTTGTGATGGAGTGTGTGCTTCTGAGATACACACCTCTGTAGGTAGCACAAAAATCAGTTGTGAGACGTCTGCTGCTTTTATAAGAAGCTTAAAGGAGAAGGAATTATCCGTTTACCTAATACGCTTTGAGCATTCCCCTAGGTAACACAAGGTACAGAGTCTGCTTCCCCAGTATTTTCAAATTCAGCAGAAGATGTGCAAGGGAAAGAGGTCAGCTCTGATTGCCCTGAAGGCACTGTTGTCTAGGTGATGTTTAGGATTTTTCCTACCTCAGTGTTTTCCTCATGGCTTAACCGGTGACAACTACATGGAAGTCCTCTCTTTGGCTTATAGATTTCAGGCATTCTAGCCCCAGGTGTTTGATTTTCACTATTCATCTAGCATTCCCTGTAGGGAAAAAGATTAGAAGTAAGGCAGTCATTATGTATTTTTATATTTTTAATTGCCTGTTGTTTGTTGTTGGGAGGGGCAGTTCGGCCCTTGAAATTTGGAGTCTGTTTATATAATGAAGTTTGAAGGCTGTGGGTTCATTTCTTCCTTCTGTTCTTTTTCAGTTCTGTGAGACAGACAGATAGATTGGAGCTGTATGTGATCAGTACATTGGGAGCAAGGAGCAATGGATGTGCAATAGCAACTGGGGGTTCTAGTCCTTCAATGATTTCACCTGAGTATTACAGCAAGTAGGCGTGATGCTTTTCAGTCTAAGAGTGTAAGGAGTCATTTCAGCTGTCTTCAAACAGCTGCACAGTAGAAATTTACATCTGAGCAGCTCTTTTTGGGCTTCCCTTTGCATTCAGTGGAGAGATTTAGGCACTGTTGTGACATGGCTGTTGTGCTGTGTGTTAGACAATTGCAGAAGACCCAGACCGAGACAGACTTCTGCTACTTCCTTTCCACTAATTACATGGAGTTTAGACAGTTAATTCAGTCAGATATATGCCTCTGTATGTTGGGATAGCAAATGTAGATGCCTAAATGTGGACTTACCGAATTATTGTATCTGCATTTAATTTTGGTAAGACGCATCTTGCCTTTTGTGTACAGGCTATGACCACACTTTCATAATTCACCTTCACCACTTCCCATGGGCAACCAGGTGTTCAGCCACCTCCAGGAAAGCAGGGCTCTGTCACATGTAATGGTGGCCTGGGAAGACAAAACACCATCATCCCAGACTTTCTCCTCCTTCCCCAGCTCTGTATACTGAGCGTTGTGTCACAGAGTCTGGGATATCTCTCTGGTCATTGGGGTCAGCTCTTTGTGCTCCCCCAGCCCACTCACTGTTAGGGTGAGAGGCAGAACAAGCCTTGGCTCTGTGCAAGCTCTGCCCAGCAGTAAGGAAAACATCCCTGCATTATCAGCACTGTTTTCAGCACAAATCTAAAACACAGCCCCATCCTAGGTAGTAAGAAGAAAACTAAAGCTATCCCAGCCAAACCCTGCACACTCTGTTAATAAAAGAGAAAATTAGTATTGTCAGGTAGTAGATTCTCTTCCAGACCCTTCTATTTGTTAGTTATTTCTGAAAGCAGTAAAAAAAACTGTAGAAGTGTTATGTTTTACCTTGACATTCACAATATTTTCTATTCGGTACACATAATATTATAGGTATACTTTATACCACTAGGAGGCTCTTGTTAAAACATAGTAATTAAGATGGAGCTAAAATTGAGGTGTTTACTGATCTAATAATTAAAAAAAAAAAAAACAACTCTTTTGTATCCTTAATGGATTCAAATGCAAACCTCACATGTGGTTTTGAAAGGGCAGCCAAATAAAAACTTCACATCAGAGAATTATCAAGGCAGGGCACCTGTGTGTGGTAGCCTTTGGGGCACAAATATTTTGCCAATAAATGCACCTCTAATTGTCCCTGCCACAGGAACTGCCAACATCAGCTGCTCTGTGTTGCTTCATCAGGTCATTCTTTCAGAGAGCAGAGCCAGTAATAAATAGGCATCCTCCTGGGAGCAGTTTGCAGTTACTTAGCATGAGAAACAGTAATGTCATGCTCCCAACCTGCATTATGATTACCTTGTGGCTGGCAGAGAGAGAGAAATTGGAGAGGTCCACAGAGCCCAAAAATGTCAGTGTCACAAGGTAAGTGATGAACTCTGGGCTTCATGAAGAGCTCAGAGCCAGCCGTGGTCCTTCACAGCCATTTGCCCACCATGGGTTAATTTCTGTAGAGTGTCAACTTTGTCACAGTTCCAACAGCCCCTCTGGTTTCCTGTAGGCAGCAGTGAATCATACCAGTAAATGAACACTTACTTATAGGTGCATTTCTCTTGTATCCCAGAGCAATTTTCCTGAGCTTCAAAATGACATTTGAGATGAAAACAGATAAAGAATGAAGCCAGGTAGTGGCTGTGGTGACACTGATGGTACTGATAGCTGCTTCGGAGTAATTCTTTCCCAAAAGGGAAAAGCAGAATGAGGCTTAAACTAGAACATACAAACCCCATCTTACAGCTCAGCACCAAGCCCCTCCTTGCAGGGATTCTGTCCCTCAAATCATGTATATCTCAGTTACACCAATACTGTGCTTTTCCAATCTACAACACAGACCTGAGGAAAAGCCTGCCCAATTTGCTGTCCTGTAGCAGAAAATGGGAAGGAAGATTTGCTCAGGGTAATCAAGTGCACACTGCATCTCCAACTGAAACAGCATCTTCCAGAGATAGAGCAGAAAGCCAAAGGACAACTGTTTACAGGGTGTTAGAACTGGAGAACTAGGGCCTTGCTGAGGTTTCATGATTTACAGTGTAAGATTTCACTTGACCAGTCAATGGCCATGACTTCAGGCAAGAGAAAAATTGTCCCCAGCTACTTGGGTGGCGTAGATTGTCACAATGTGTGAGATGAGCTGGAATTATCCCGGACTCTGAGGTTCCTGGTTGCTGTGAATGGGTTCGTGTCACCTCACATTTGTGGTCTTGGTGCAGATACCAATGTTGGAACAGGGAATCTGAGAGTGGGCAAAGGGGGAGAAGTTGGGGGGGCGGGGTGGGCGAGGGGGTGGAAAGATGGAAATGTGATTGGGCCATTTGGAGTGATTCAGTGAGGCAACATGAGAGGGTGTAAGACAGGATGCACAAATTCTGTAACTGTGCTGTTTTATCTCTCTGCTCAGCACTGTGAGGGTGAGAATAGCTCTGACTGCTGTCATCGTCCCTTGCTTATTTCTGTTAGGGGAGTTACTTCAAGGCAGGAGCTGAAAATTGTCTTCTTTTGGGTAAGCACTGTATTGCTGCTGTAGAAGTGGGATGATACCCATAAAAAGAGCAGGCCAGGTTTTCCTGCATGTTCTGTGATGGGTTTGCAGGGGCAGGCCATGTGGGTGATTAATCAAGTGTAGCAGATCCTCACAGACTCTGCCACAGTTCCCTTTGGAGTGTGTGCTGCAGCTGATGCAGCCCCAAGCAGAGATGGACTGCCTGAGACCTGCTGAGGATATAGATATAGACTTCTGGATTTGATGATGTTCTGAGCAACAGTAGAAGGGCTGGTATTTGGAGTATTATGTGCATAAAAAATATGATACTTTCGATTAAAATTTTCTGTTGGTGCAAAGGAATAAAGGAAATATATTCATCAGTTTAGCACAGATAAACGTAACTCACAATGGAAACATACCCTATTATCTGTTCTATTTTAAGGGAACATGAGATATAGCATTTGTGAGGGTTGTTGCCTAGTTGGTTTATGCCCAGTTTGTAGACCAAATTTAAGAGTTTTCTTTTGGAAAAATTCTAACAGTTACATTTATGTTAGCTTAATCTTTCCTTTTTCAAGACTCAGTT